GACGGGCATGCCCGAGAACGTGGACCGGGCGCGCGAGGAGATCGAGGCGCACATCACCATGAGGACAGGCTCCTTCATCGACGTCAACGCCGACAACGACTTCCACTCCAACGGCACCGACGTCTGCCTCGACCTGCAGGGCGGCGCGGCCGCCCCGTGGGCCAAGGCCCCGCACCCCGCCCAGCGCCCCTCGGCCGCGCTGCGCAACGACAGCCTCAGCTCCCTGGGCAGCGGCTCCACCGAGTCCTTCTACAGCGGGCGCGTGGCGGCCGCCAGCCCCACCAGCCCCTACAGCACCTTCAGCGAGCCCCCGGCCCCGCTGGGCTCCGACGAGTGCGACTTCGGCTTCGACTTCCTGGCCCTTGACCTCACCACGCCCACCACCACCATCTGGTCGCCCTTCGAGCGCTCGGGCAACCCCCTGCAGGCCTTCAGCAGCTGCTCCTCCATCAACAGCTCGCAGAGACGCAACAGCGGCCCGGCCACGCCGCGCCACTCGCCCACGCTGCCCGAGAGCGGGGTGGCGGCGCTGGAGCACCCCTCGGCGCGGCGCATCCCCAGCGACCCCGCCGGCGCCCTGGCCTGGCTGCCCGCCCAGGGCTCGCTCTCCTCCTTCTCCAACAGCACCGGCTACTCCTCCTCCTCCTCGCTGCCCGGCAGCATCTCGGCCGCCTCGGGCTCGCCCACCGACTCCAGCAGCTCGGACGGGCACCGCAAGAGCTCCCGGGAGTGCATGGTGTGCCTGGAGAGCGAGGTGATGGCCGCGCTGGTGCCCTGCGGCCACAACCTGTTCTGCATGGAGTGCGCCCTGCGCATCTGCGGCCGGGCGCAGCCGCAGTGCCCCGCGTGCCACGTGCCCGCCACCCAAGCCATCCACATCTTCTCCTAGCGCGGGGGCTCGCCCGGCGGCCTCCCCTCCACCCCGACACCACGGCGTTTTAAGGACTTTCTACTGTTGAAATCGAGCTTTTTATTTAATACCAGATGCGATGGGCGCAGGGGCGGGAGGGGGGAGAGGCGGCGGCAGGAGCGGAGAGGCGCGGAGGGCACGGCGGGGGCGGGGGGACTGAAAAATAGAAAAGCTCTGCACCAAACTGCTCTGGGAAGCTGCAGGCTGGGGCTGTGTGGGTGCTGTGTCCTGCCAGGTGGAACAGCACTGTGATGGTTTCTGGAGGAGAACAGGGATGCTGTTCCCGAGGAGCTAGTGGGGCTGCTGTGAGCCAGGTGAGATCCCAGCCAGGTGAGCTCTCATCCAGGTGAGATCCCAGCCAGGTGAGACCCCCTGGGCCGGCAAAGCTGGCTGGGCTGTGGGAGTCTGGGAGGGACTGACGGGGCAGGAGGAAGATCCCTGTGTGCAGCCCCAGGCAGAGTTGGCCTTGGTCAGGGTACCCTGAGAGCAGAGTCCTTGAATGTCCTGGGTGGGAAGGGACCAATGGCATCGAGTCCAGCCCCTGTCCCTGCACAGCCACCCCAACAAGCCCACCCTGAGGGCTCCTGGAGAGAGCTCCCAGCCTTGGGGCCGGGACCATTCCCTGGGCAGCCTGGGCAGTGCCAGCACCCTCGGGGGCAAGAACCTTTCCCTGAGCTCCGTGCCAAGCCCTGGCACAGCTCCAGCCACCTGTGTGTGTGTCAGGAGCTGGGGGTGCTCCCCACTGCATTCCCCTTTCTTTGGCTTCCCCATTTCAGGATCCACCTTGGCCACGTCCCTGCTCAGAGCCCTGAAGGTTCTTGCTGTTTCCATGTCTGTAACAATGCTGTTTCTCCCTCCATGCACCTGGCAGATGGTAAGGAGCACCTGGGAAGGTTCTGGAGCTCAGCTGGGAAGGTGCACAGGGCTCTTCCTGGGGCAGGGAGCAGGTGGGGCACAGCTGGATGTAGCACACCTGGGCTGTGTCTCTGGGTGGGTGGGCTGTGGGGCTGTGGTCTTGGCGGTGGCTCTGCAGGGACTGCCTGGCTCCCACAGCTCTCTCTGGGCACTGTGCCCTCCTCACCGAGCTCTTCCTGCAGGACAGGGATGTCCCCATGTCCCTGCAGTCCTGCAGGCCCAGTGGGGTCAGGCTGCTCTGGCCACAAGTCCCTGCCCAGGAGAAGTGCTTCTCCACCAGGAGCTCTGTGTGCCCTGGGGACCTCCTTGAGCCCCTGGGGGGTCCTGCTGGCCCTCAGCCCCCCCTGCCTTGTCCCCTGCAGTTCAAAGCCTCCCTGGGCTGGCTGATGGAGGAGCTGGGCAGCACCACCCCCTACAGCCATGGCATCAGCCCCACAGTGGGGCAGAGCCCTTTGTGTGAGAGCCTGGCTGCAGGGATGGGGATGGGGAACTGCTGGGGCTCTGCAGTCCCTCCACTCCCTGTCTCTCTTGCCCTGCCCAGTTTGGGGTGTGCCAAGCTGGCCAGGACCTGCTCTGGATCAGCCCCTCTGTGCCCCAGGTTTGACTCCAGGCAAGTGGTGGAGCAGCTCCAAGGCTGCAGGGTCCTGGAGACCATCCAGACCAGCACCTCAGGACACCCTCCAGCTGTCCCCTACCCCAGAGCACCCTGGCTGCTTCCCCCTCTGCAGCTGTGACACCTCTGCCCCCACTCTGCCCCCACAGATGGGCGTACCAGGAGTTCTTGGAGAGTACAGGCCTGTGGTGAGCAGGGAGGAGCTGAAGGGCACCAGCAGGAATCTCCAGCACTGCCCGTGGGAGACTGCTTCAAGTGAAGGTCCTGCTTTGGGGATGCAGCTGTAGAACCAGAGCATCCCTTGCAGGTGCTTTCCCTGTGTGCTGCTGCCCAGTGAGGCACAGAACTGGGTGAGCTGGAGATAAACTCTACCTCTAGGGAGGCTGGATGGGAAGGATCCCTCCTGGAGGAGCCTGGGGGGCTCTGTCCTGGCACTGACTCTCCCTTGCTGCAGGACCCCAGCAAGTACAGGTGTGGGAAGCCCAAGGTGTTTTTGTGGGCTGGCCAGGTGTCCTAAGGTAGAAGATGTGGCTGGGGGTGAATGGGAAGGATCCCTCCTGGAGGAGCCTGGGGGGCTCTGTCCTGGCACTGACTCTCCCTTGCTGCAGGACCCCAGCAAGTACAGGTGTGGGAAGCCCAAGGTGTTTTTGTGGGCTGGCCAGGTGTCCTAAGGTAGAAGATGTGGCTGGGGGTGTGTGTTCTGTTCTCATCTGTCAGAGCTGGGGCAGTTCTCTTCTGTTCATGGGGCAGTTTTTTCTTTATCTCTCCCACAGCCAACCCTCCCTCCAGGAGATCTCTGCTGTCCATGGCCACTGAGTGTCCCTGCATGGCTGATCAAATTCCAGCATCCCATGGGGAGATGCTCTGCCCAGGGCAGGAGCCAAGCATTCCTACCTGGATACAATCTGAGCCTGGAACACCCCAGCAGCCTTTGCCACTGCATTCCCAGAGGAGCAGCTTTCTCCTGCCCTGCATTCCCAGAGGAAGAGCAGGCCCATCTCCAGCAGCCCTGGAGCTCCAGAGGAAAACTCCAGCCTTGTGCAGGATCCCTGCTCCAGCAGAACCACAGCTGGCACTGCAGGAGGGCTGAGCCACCGTGGGATGGGGCTGTGCCACCACCCTGACACACAGAGGGCAGGGCCTGTTCTGACTCTGGCAGGGTTGGTTTTGTACTATTACATATTTTTAATTTTCCTAATAGAGAACTGTTATTCCTATTCCCATATCTTTTCCTGAGAGCTCCTTAATTTCAAAATTATAATGATTCGGAGGGATGTGGTTTAAGGGGTTTACATTTTCTATTTCAAGAAAGGCTCCTGCGTTCCTTAGCAGACACCTGTCTTCTCAAACCAAAACAACTTACTGTAGACTAACAAAGAAACGAACATAATGTTCAAGACATGATGTGAAAATGACCACAAATACTTCTGGTGAGATCGTGGAAGTAGCAGAGGGTGTCTTGATTGTGGAGAGAAAAATCCAAGGAGTTTGTAAGGGTAACTCCTGCTTCCCTGCTAAACGATGAAAATCCAATACTAGTCTTGATTTTCTAGGGGCCTCTGCATATGTGTGTGGTTTAATTTCAAGAGCCTGGATTTTCACAAAATAGATACCAAAATTGATTCTGCCTCCTTCAGGTTGAACATGGGGAAATGCTGACTGACAGAATCACCTGAGGGTAATAAATCTGCCAAGTGTTTTGTTAAACAGCCATTCAGCCTGAAATGCACCCTGGCATTCTGGAATAACAATGGGCTACTGTAACGTGTGGTGCATTAATTATAGAGTTGACAAGAAAATTACCCTTCAAGCCAAGATTACTGAAAACTTTACTAGGCTTTTTTCCCCTCTGCTGTTAAATACAGTATTCAGTGTAGCCCTCCCAGAGGTTCTGCCCACCTCCCCCTGCAGAGTTAACCAACATGGCAATAAAGGTCCAAGAGATCTGCACTAATATGTCACTGAGAACATTGTTTGCTTCCCCAAATTTCATTGTAGCTGCTAAATTATAAATATCAGCATTAAAAATGGCCTTGGCTTTCCTCAGTGTTTTTCTGATAAAATAAAGCAGAATAAAATGTTGCTTCAATGTGTGACTGGATTTACATCCTTCAACAGGAATCCTTGTGGATCCCTGGCAATCTGTCTGTGAAAAAAACCCACCCTGGCTTTCAAACACTCAAGTACTGGTGAGAAAGAAGGAGCTCCAGTTTTGGAGGCAATGCAAAATTACCAATACATCAGTATAAGGACACAGCAGAAATTTAAATGGTATGAACAGAACACAGTTTGTGTCTTCTCCAGGCAAAATCTAATTCCAGCTCCAGCCCATGCAGTCCCATCCTTCTTGTTTTTCTCTCTTCAGCCCACATTGTTTGTGCTCTTGGGCCTGAGATTTGGATCCTTTGTCCTTGGTGCCCAGCTGGAGCAGGAATTGTTTTGTCTCCCTGCTCTGTGCAGAGAGCTCACCATGCCCTGATATGAACCCAGACCCACACACTAAAGCAGCACAGAATCTGAAAAATAGAAAAGCTCTGCACCAAACTGCTCTGGGAAGCTGCAGGCTGGGGCTGTGTGGGTGCTGTGTCCTGCCAGGTGGAACAGCACTGTGATGGTTTCTGGAGGAGAACAGGGATGCTGTTCCCGAGGAGCTAGTGGGGCTGCTGTGAGCCAGGTGAGATCCCAGCCAGGTGAGCTCTCATCCAGGTGAGATCCCAGCCAGGTGAGACCCCCTGGGCCGGCAAAGCTGGCTGGGCTGTGGGAGTCTGGGAGGGACTGACGGGGCAGGAGGAAGATCCCTGTGTGCAGCCCCAGGCAGAGTTGGCCTTGGTCAGGGTACCCTGAGAGCAGAGTCCTTGAATGTCCTGGGTGGGAAGGGACCAATGGCATCGAGTCCAGCCCCTGTCCCTGCACAGCCACCCCAACAAGCCCACCCTGAGGGCTCCTGGAGAGAGCTCCCAGCCTTGGGGCCGGGACCATTCCCTGGGCAGCCTGGGCAGTGCCAGCACCCTCGGGGGCAGGAACCTTTCCCTGAACTCCATGCCAAGCCCTGGCACAGCTCCAGCCACCTGTGTGTGTGTCAGGAGCTGGGGGTGCTCCCCACTGCATTCCCCTTTCTTTGGCTTCCCCATTTCAGGATCCACCTTGGCCACGTCCCTGCTCAGAGCCCTGAAGGTTCTTGCTGTTTCCATGTCTGTAACAGTGCTGTTTCTCCCTCCATGCACCTGGCAGATGGTAAGGAGCACCTGGGAAGGTTCTGGAGCTCAGCTGGGAAGGTGCACAGGGCTCTTCCTGGGGCAGGGAGCAGGTGGGGCACAGCTGGATGTAGCACACCTGGGCTGTGTCTCTGGGTGGGTGGGCTGTGGGGCTGTGGTCTTGGTGGTGGCTCTGCAGGGACTGCCTGGCTCCCACAGCTCTCTCTGGGCACTGTGCCCTCCTCACCGAGCTCTTCCTGCAGGACAGGGATGTCCCCATGTCCCTGCAGTCCTGCAGGCCCAGTGGGGTCAGGCTGCTCTGGCCACAAGTCCCTGCCCAGGAGAAGTGCTTCTCCACCAGGAGCTCTGTGTGCCCTGGGGACCTCCTTGAGCCCCTGGGGGGTCCTGCTGGCCCT